ACTATGTTTTCGTTGTGATGAGAAGTTTACTGTGGGACATCGCTGTAAGAAGAGGGAGTTGCGGATTATGTTGGTTAGCGATGAGGACGAAATTGAAAATGAGGAAATTGAGCCGGACGAGGCAGAGGAGTCCGGGGAGTTGCTGCGAACCGAGGCGATCGAGTTATCCTTGAATTCCGTTGTGGGGCTGACAACACCAAAAACCATGAAGATAAAGGGGGAGGTTGGCCATTGTGAGGTAATTGTTTTGATCGACTCTGGGACTACTCACAATTTTATTTCTCTTACCTTAGTTACGAAAATAAAACTGCCCATAACTCCTACAACTAGTTTTGGTGTTCAAACGGGTACGGGGGAGTCGGTACAGGGGCAGGGATTGTGTAAAGAGGTGGTGTTGACCGTGCAGGACTTAACCATAATTGAGAATTTTTTGCCATTGGAGTTGGGAGGAATAGATGTAGTTCTAGGAATGCAATGGTTGGAGACTTTAGGGAGTATGAATGTAAATTGGAAGACTCAAACTATGAGATTCAAAGTGCTCGGGGAGTATGTGATGTTGAAAGGGGACGCGAGTCTCACGAGATCATTGATTTCCCTTAAGGCCATGATGCGCACCATTCGTCATGAGGGGCAGGGCATTTATTTGGAAATGAGACAATTGGGGGAGGAGCAAGGTCACGGAATGGAAGAGGAGGGCATAGGGCAGTTACAAGAATTGTTGCAGAAACATGTGGCAGTCCTCAACATGCCAGCTGGTTTACCTCCTCATAGAGTGAGGGACCACCATATAATCCTTGAGGATGGCACCGGACCGATTAGTGTCCGACCATACCAATACCCCCATTTTCAAAAGAATGAAATAGAGAAGTTAGTGAGGGAGATGTTGGCGGCTGGAATAATTCAGCCGAGTGTGAGTCCAATATTCCATCCCGGTCTTGCTCGTCAAGAAGAAGGATGGTAGTTGGAGATTTTGTATCGATTATAGGGCGCTAAACAAAGCCACAATCGCGGATAAATTTTCGACTCCGGTGATAGAAGAGTTGTTAGACGAATTGTGCAGTGCTACCATTTTTACCAAATTAGATTTGAAGTCAGGGTATCACCAGATTCGCATGTGTGTCGAGGATGTTCCTAAGACTGCTTTTCGAACTCCGGAGGGACACTATGAATTCCTCGTTATGCCCTTCGGATTAACAAATGCACCGGCGACTTTTCAGTCCTTGATGAATGAGGTACTTAAGCTGTTCTTACGCCGATTTGTGTTGGTCTTCTTTGATGATATTCTGATTTACAGCCGCTCCTGGGAGGACCATATGGAGCACTTGGACAGGGTTCTGTTGGTTTTGAGGGCCAACCAATTGTACGTCAACAAGAAAAAATGCCTTCTTGCTCAGGAACAATTGGAATATTTGGGTCATGTGGTTTCTCGGACTGGAGTGGTTGCGGATCCTAGTAAGATACATGCCATGTTGGATTGGTCACCTCCACGGTCCATTAAGGAGTTGCGGGGATTCTTGGGCGTAACAGGGTACTACCGTCGGTTCGTGGCCGGGTATGGGCGTATTGCGTGGCCATTGACGCAGCAACTTAAGGACGCCTTTAATTGGAATTCGGAGGCTAAGGAGGCTTTTCAGTGCTTAAAAAAAGCTATGAATGAGATTCCAGTGTTGGCTTTGCCAGATTTTTCTCAACCTTTTGTGGTGGAATTAGACGCTTCGGGGTTTGGGCTAGGAGCGGTTTTGATGCAACAGCAGCGGCCCATCGCTTATTTTAGCCAAGTCCTCTCGGCGCGTGCTCGTGCCAAATCGGTCTATGAGCGAGAGCTAATGGCCATTGTGCTAGCCATTCAGAAATGGCGACCTTATTTGTTGGGAAGGCGATTTTTGGTGCGCACCGATCAAAAAAGTTTGAAGTTCTTATTGGAACAGTGCTTGGTGAGTGTGGAGCACCAGCGGTGGCTGTGTAAATTGCTTGGCTATGATTTCGAGATACAGTACAAACCGGGGCCAGAAAACAGGGTGGCTGACGCCCTTTCGAGACAACAAGCGGGGCTGGCTTTGATGGTCATGACTACTTCAATGGTGCTCGATATTGAGGAGTTGCAGCGGCAAGTTAAGGCAGATCCGGAACTCAACAAAACCGTGGAGGGGTTGCTGGCTGGAACGCACTCTTTGACGGGGTTTACTCTTCAAAGGGGGCATTTACTTTACAAGGGAAGGTTTGGTCGTTCCTCCAAAATCTCCACTAATTCCAATCTTGTTACGTGAGTTTCATAGTAGTAAGATAGGCGGGCATTCAGGAGTCTTAAAGACTTACAAACGGCTGGCATTGGAATTTTTCTGGAAGGGTATGTGCAAAGATGTTGAGACTTTTGTGGCTGCTTGTGCCGTTTGTCAGCAATATAAGACGCCGACTTTGTCACCGGCGGAATTGTTGTAGCCCTTGCCTATACCCAACCGGGTTTGGGATGATATTTCCATGGACTTTATTGAGGGATTACCGAGATCTGCAGGTTATAATTCCATTTTGGTTGTCATTGGTTGCCTCAGTAAGTACGGCCATTTCATTGGCCTTAAACACCCGTTTTCAGCCAATACCGTGGCTGCTGTTTTTGTCCGTGACATCGTGCGCCTGCATGGGTTTCCACAGAGCATCATCTCTGACCGGGATAAGGTTTTTATGAGCCATTTTTGGAAGGAACTTTTTAGGTTGCAGGGCACTATCTTGTGCCGGAGTACGGCGTATCGTCCTCAGACGGATGGCCAAACGGAGGTCGTAAACTACTGTTTGGAGGCTTATTTGCGTTGTTTTGTCTCTGGGCAACCTAGGCAGTGGTTCACACATCTTTTGTGGGCGGAGTATTGGTACAATACGAGCTTCCATGTCTCGGCTGCCATGACGCCTTTCAAAGCTCTCTATGGTCAGGATCCTCCGCAGTTGGTGCCGTATGAGGCCGGTTCTACAGCCACGTCGGAGTTGGAGAGGCAGCTATGCGACCGTGATGCACTATTGACAGAATTGAAGGACCATTTGGGACGCGCCCAACAGTCTATGCGAGACCATGCAAGCAGGAAGCGTCGTTCCGTGGAATTTGAGGTAGGAGACATGGTTTATTTGAAGCTCCAGCCGTATCGTCACCGAGCGTTGGCGCGAGTGTGGAATGAAAAGCTTGCCCCTCGCTATTATGGGCCGTTTCAGATCCTTGCTCGAGTTGGACCAGTGGCGTACCGGTTGCTCCTTCCTTCTCATGCTCGGATTCATTCCGTCTTTCATGTGTCCCACTTGAAGAAGGCGCTCGGGCCGGTGGATATTCCTCAAATCTTTACCATCAATCTTATCAGAAGAATTGACGTTGCAGGTGGAACCCGCTCAAGTCTTGGATACTCGTTTTCCCCCTGCCACTGGGTCTTTGGAGGTTTTGATCAACTGGCGCCACCTTCCGGACTTTGAATCTTCTTGGGAGCTGTTTGATGTGATTCAGCACCAGTTTCCTGCTTTGCACCTTGAGGACAAGGTGACGTTTTTGAGGGGGGGTGTAATTGATAAGCCCTTACTCAGGCAAGTGTATGTTAGGAGGAATAAACGGGTCTAGGCAGGGAAAGTTTGTCTTTAGTTGGCTGTGGAAGTACGGTACTAGTGGCTTAATTAGAAGTATTAGTATTAGTTAGCTTACGAGGGAAGTTTGTTTGTTAGAGGGAAATTGTATAAAAGGGGGAAGAGGAGGGAAAGGCGGTTATCGGGAAATAAACAGAAAGTTGAACAAGTCTTGGAATAATTCCAAGCAAGGGAGGAAGCAGACCCTCGAAGATCTGCCAATCAGTGTATAGCGATTGTTGTCAATATAATCCTTCTTTGATTCTTTCTTTCATTCTTACGATCCTACAATTAGTTCTCTATAGTTCTTGTTTTCAAACAATCCAGACCTTATCAAAGTTTTTGATATAAAAAAGTAGGGTTATATTCGAAAGGATTATTTTAATTAAAAGAAAGTATTTTATTGAAGGATATTGTAAAAAAAAAAAGAATTTCCAAAGAAATTCTCAAAGAATATTAAGAGGAAAAATAAAAAAGATAATAGGCAAAAAAGGAAAAAAATTATTATTTTTTTAAAAAATAGAGGAAAAGTTTAAAAAAGAGAAGAAAAAAAATAAGAAGGAGGCCAACACGTGGCCTCCTAAGTCGACTTAATTGCTTTTATAGACGTTAGACGTTAGGTTGGATATATAGATAGTCATTAAAAGAATAACTATAAAAGAGCCCTTGACAAAATAAAAAATATAAAAAAAAAAACAAAATAAGATCAGAAAAGAGAAAACACACGTAAAAACAATTAAACTGTAAAAAACATTCATAAAATAAAAAATGAAAGAAAAAACATTAAAGAAATAAAAAATAATAAAAGTAGAAAAGAATAAGAAAAAGATGGTAGAGGGCTACCACATAGCAGCCTGGAAAGAGCAGTATAGGCAAAAAAAGTGTGTAAAGATAACTTTTGATATAATAGGAATTACACGGAAAATAATTGAGCAAGGACACATTTGAAGAAAATTATTTTAATCATTGACAAGAAAATTAGCAAAGTGAGTAAAATTTAAAAAAAAAAATTACATAAACAAAAAAATAAAAAAGAAAAAAATTTAAAGGAATAAAGAATAAAGATACAAATGTAAAGAAGGGGGAATAAAAAAGAAAAAAGGAAGGAGGAGGACAAGGCGTCACGTGGCAGCCTAAAGGGAGAGTACTATCCAAGAGCTTTTGGCTCTTTTATGTATTGTTAGATTAGATTAAAGGACTTCTCCACTTCTTCATCTTTGTTCTTTCCCCCCTTTTTTTGGTAGTCCTTTTATGCTTCCATAAAAATAAAAAATAAAAACTTTTCTATTTAAGAGAGCATCGACTTTCCGCACCTATGAGGATGGTTTGTAGAAAGAAAATTCTATGCACTATCAATATTTTTGAGGCAACAATTTCCAGTATTTGTACTTCTCATGGTATTGCAGATGGTGGACTCTTTCAATCAGAAGGCTAATCTCTCTGTGGGTTTTCCACTCGGTAGTTTTAATGCTGCTTTTAACTTCACTGGTTTAAAGCATCTCGATGCTGCATCCACAAAGACCCTTTCAATGGATGGATTCTACATTCCACTTGCCAAAGTTCAGCTTTTACAGTCCCCATTAGTGTTACAAGAAAATGTGAAACAGGCTGTACCAACTAATTGGGACCCAGCATCCTTAGCGAGGTATGATTTTTTAAAGTTAGATGGAAATAACAATAGTTTATTTTCTAACCCTCTCTGATTGCTAGTGTATTTTCGACAGCTTCATTGAAAATTTTGGAACTCATGTCATAACATCTGTAACTATTGGTGGGAAAGATCTGATTTATGTGAAACAACATCAGCATTCAACTTTGACAACTTTGGAGATAAAGAACTATGTCCAGGATATTGGGAATCAGAGGTTCTCTGATACAGAAAGCCATACAAGTTCTGGTCCAATGAAATTGAAGGATAAGGCTAGTTCCACATATGAATATTTCATTTTCTTTATTGATTTTCCTCAACTTGATCACCCATTTTCTTAACTCCATTTTCTTAATTTTTTAGGGTGTTGATCCTGGTTTATTTAACAGTCAGGGGATATATCCGCAACCTACCAACGCACCATATCTTGCTGGGAAAGAAGTATGTTAAATTTAGTATCTTTCTCCTTGGTTGTACAATATCTATTTTGCTCTTTATGTCGTGATTATGATGGAATTGGTCATCAATTCTTACCTTGTATTTGTTTTGTTTTGTTTTGTTTTGTTTTGTTTTTTTGTTTTTTTTTTTTGTATTTTCTGCTTCTTGAGGACATCTTGTCCGAAACTGTCTTTGATCCACAACAATATAAAGTGCTTTTTCTTATTAAAAAAAAAAAATAACTTGATACTTTCTTTGCTACCTAATTTTCTTTTGGCTAAAAGGAATGAATAAAAAGGGAAAAGAAAAAAGAAGAATGTAGCTTTTGGTCTTGAATTGTTGCAATATCTAGTTATTGTCTCATTTTGAAACTGGTATTATTTCTATGTTGCAAAACTCGGACCAGTGATACTCTTTATTTAGTTTAATGAAGGCAGTAGGCAGTAGCTATATATATTTCTTTTCGCCATTAAATTGGTCCTTTTGAAGCTCAAGTTATCAAAACATCTCTCTTTTTCTCTAAAAGGAGTTATCAAAAACTTATTTAAATTGAAAATTTTGCGTTAAAGAGAGCCTCAAGTATGTTTCTTTTCACCTTTTCCTGCAATGAAATTTTCCAGCCCTTGCTCTCCATTATATCTTGCCTTGATTATTTGTAATAAGACTAAAATTTGTAAGATCGTTCAGTGCATGTACGAGTTGCAGAGTTAGAACTTTTTGTTTGATTTGGTGATGTCATTTGCTGAAGTTTTTCATGACTAAAAGCTACATGCCAGGAGTTGGTTCATAGAATCACTAGAAGGGCTTAAACTAAGAATTCTTTGAAACTATTATTAATGCAGGATGTGACGGTCATTTTCCGAAGGAGGGGAGGAGATAATCTGGAACAAAACCACACCCGATGGGTGAGAACCATCAAGTCATCTCCGGATGTCATTGAGATGACATTTTGTCCCATAACAGCTCTCCTTGAAGGCGTTACTGGAAAGGAGTATCTTATTCGAGCCATTAATCTTTATCTTGAATGTAAGATAATAAAGCCAGCCTCTAAATGAGTACTATCATGTTCCTGTACCATTCTGTGGAACTAAGGAAAAGTTTTTTTGCTAAATGTACTGATTTATTTTGGGCCAACTTTGTTTACAGATAAGCCTCCAGTTGAAGAGCTGAGATATTTTCTAGAGTTTCAGATTCCGCGAGTTTGGGCTCCTGTACATGACAGAATTCCTGGTCACCTAAGGAAGGAACCTGTTTGCCCATCTTTGCAATTCAGCATAATGGGGCAAAAGCTTTATGTCAGCCAGGAGCAGGTATTTATCTTCTCTTTTTTTTTTTTTTTTTTTTTTTTTTTTTTTTTTTTTTTATATAAGAAAAACTTTATTGATTAAATAAATCAATTACAGAAAAGTGGATAAGGTATCCTCGCCAAAGAGAACAAAAACAAGATACAAGTACAAAAAATCAAAAAGCTTATGAGCCTATTACGTCCTTCCAGTTCATTACAACCAAGGGAAAGGGGCAACCCTTAAAAGCTTTGTCAGATGCATCCCATAAAGAGGCTGTGAATTTTGCTTTCTCAAAAAGATCAATAATATCCAACTCCTTTGCCTAAAAAATTCTCGCGTTTCTTTTGGACCACAAGGTCCAAAGGACGGATAAAACCATATTTTTCCACAACACTTTAGACATGCTATTTAAATTCAACCCAGCCAAACTTTCTATCATAACCGAGCTACAGTGAGCTGGCATAGCCCAAGAAAAACCTGGTTCAAAAATTATTTTCTGCCAAACCGATGTGGCCACCGGACAATGTAGCAGTAAATGGTCCACAGATTCCCCACTACTTCTGCAAAGGACACACCAGGAAGGGTAAATTGCCATGTGAGGGTTTCTTTTCTGAACCCAGTCACAAGTGTTTAGTTTCCCAAGCGCCACCTACCAAGTGAAGACTTCAATTCTATGAAAGACACTTGGGGCACGTTTAGAACTCGTTCCAAAATGATTTTATTTTTTGTATGAAAATGAAAACGTTTTCAATCTCATACAGAAATCATTTTTGAAAATGTGTTTGGTAGTTTTATCAAGAGATTAGTTTTAGTATAAAAAAACCCATTAATGTCTCTCTCTCTGCTCGAGAGAGGAGAAAACAAAAACAAAAAATAAAAAACGACTAAAAGTCTTTTTTCATTTCTCTCTCATTTTACACTAAACTAAAAATTTATTTTCATTTCCGTTTTTTGTCTTTATTGTGCCAAATGCCATTTTGGAAACGTTTTCATTTTTTTTCTCGAAAAACGTGAAATACAAAAGCGAGATCAATTCCAAACACGACATTGATTTCCAGATGAATTTATACGGTGCAAAATACTCATGATCAGATCTGTCAACTAAGGCCGAGACAAAAGATCGACACAAAAAACCATTAGGATCACACAACCCTAGTCTATGATCAGGAACCTAAGGCTGTAAATAGAAAGAACTAATGAGCTGAAGTAGAGAATGCAAGTATTTTTCTTATATGTTATATTGTGTTCTCTACTTCCTAGGCAAAATCTTCAATCACTTTTGGAGACCTTGTATTTGTAAAAGATCAATTGTAAAAGATCAATTGTGTGTTGATGGTGAACTGTTTCTTTTTTTCCCCTTATGCGTAAAATCTAAATGCAATACCTGTTTGGGGCCATTAACAACTTAGCCCCCAAATTCCTAGGTTGGAGAGCAAAATTTTTATGGTTTCATTTTATTTTGTGAACCAACCACTGTTGCAAATGCCTCATTCCATCTATATTCTGGTCACCTAGTAGGTTTCTGAAGGAAATTTACATTTTAAATAAACAACTGAAATTCTCTTGATTGCAGATATCAGTTGGACGAAAGCCAGTAACGGGCTTGCGGCTGTGTCTGGAAGGAAGCAAGCAGAATCGTCTGTGTATTCAGCTTCAACACTTGGCATCTCTTCCAAAGATTCTTCAACCATACTGGGATACCCATGTGGCAATTGGTGCTCCCAAGTGGCAAAGACCCGAGGAGCAAGATAGCCGATGGTTTGAGCCAGTGAAATGGAAAAATTTCTCTCATGTGAGCACTGCACCTATCGAGAACCCTGAAACCTTCATTGGCGAGCTCTCTGGCGTCTACATAGTCACTGGAGCACAGCTCGGAGTCTGGGATTTTGGGTCAAGAAATGTCTTGTACATGAAGCTGTTGTATTCTAGGCTACCAGGTTGTACCATCCGAAGATCGTTGTGGGATCACATCCCAAATGAGAAATCAAAAAAGGTGGTATCTACCAGAGGTAACTCCAATACCGGAGACTCAAGTTCAGATTCAAGAGAACACTCCGCGGGTAACAAGTTGGTGAAGTTTGTAGATATGACTGAGATGAGCAAGGGGCCCCAGGATCATCCGGGTCATTGGTTGGTCACTGGTGGAAAGCTCGGTGTGGAGAAAGGAAAAATTGTACTGAGAGTGAAATACTCCTTGCTAAACTACTGATGTAAACTTGTATGATGATGTGTAGAGCTGATTTTTGTTAGGTAGAGGTGGTGTCCTTTTTGTTATAGTGAATATAAAATTATGTTGATCACTGGTCATTAAACTTCGCAGTGTGATAGGTTGGCTATGGCGTATGGGAAGGGAAGTGCTTTTTTTTTTTTTTTTTTTTTGGGTGGGTTTTGGGTAAATCAAGGTTCCTGCAGATTTGAGTGGCAAGATCAGTTACAAGTATTCTGTAATTCCAAGGAAAGTGTGTACTTCTCTTCTACAGGTTTAGAAGGTGTTTAGATGCTTATTTCATTGCAACTTAATGCTGGGGCACTTGTGTTGCCTCCCTTTCCTTTCTACATTTATGGGAGAAATAGATGGAAAAATTTGTTGGTTATCAATCTGCTTCATCCCTTGGGTCCCCTTTTCAGTTTGCTGAAGAATTATAGAGAGTAATGCACCATAATATGTGTATATATATGTGTGTGTGGGTCCCTTTTTCAGTTTGTTGAAGAATTATGGAGAGTAATGCACCATAATATGTGTATCTGTGGGGGCGCGCGCGCGCGTGCGTGCTGAAGAATTATGAAGAGTAATGCACCATAATATGTGTGTGCGTGCGTGCTGAAGAATTATGGAGAGTAATACACCATAATGTGTGTGTGTGTGTGTGTGTGGGCGCGCGCTGAAGAATTATGGAGAGTAATGCACCATAATATGTGTGTGTGTGTGTGTGTGTTGTGTGTGTGTGTGTGTGCTGAAGAATTATGGAGAGTAATGCACCATAATGTGTGTGTGTGTGTGCGCGCTGAAGAATTATGGAGAGTAATGCACCATAATATGTGTGTGTGTGCGCGCGCGCGCTGAAGAATTATGGAGAGTAATGCACCATAATATGTGTGTGTGTGTGTGCGCTGAAGAAGTATGGAGAGTAATGCACCATAATATGTGTGTGTGTGTGTGTGTTGTGTTTGTGTGTGTGTGCTGAAGAATTATGGAGAGTAATGCACCATGTGTGTGTGTGTGTGTGTAAATACACCAACTAAGGAAATAAGATATCAACTATGCATTTACTCCATTGTTCAAACTAGCAGAAAATACGCCTTCATGTTGGACATATATTTTAGTAATTTTATTAGACTTGTCGTTGAATAGTAATGCAAAATTCTGGCAATTTTCCCCCGCTTTATTCTCATGGTAAAAATGTTTAGTAGCAGGTGGAGCATAGTTCAACTTTAGTGGCAGTTACATGACTTTGGTCTTGAATAAGTGCTTGAGCCCATCCGTAGGGTTCGGCCATGATTCGTAAGAGACTCTTCAAAGTAAGCCCCTGTATGAGTAGTATTTGAGATGGGTTCCTGAATTTAGTCATGGGTGATGTTTAAAAGATTTGATTATGCTTCTCTCATGAATTGCAATAGAAATGGTTTTGTCGATCCTACACCAATATGCTTCTTAATCTTTGCTATTGTTTATTCTTGAAAGTTTTTAACTGTTGGCTCCAGTAGCTAAAATCTCGTTACTCATAATTCATAGCTTGAAATATGCTTTCCCACATTTTCCTTTGAACTATTTTGATTTTATACAATTTATTGGGAAAGAAGTAAAACTATAAATAGAGCAATAATTTCTCTTAAAGCAACGGTCTCATTAAGTTGAAATGCACACATAAATACACAAGAATGGAACAACCCTACCCAACGGCCATAAATTAGGACAGGTGGAATACTCAATTACTTTAATATAATATTTTGTACCTTAAGGTAACAAAATACCAGTCATTTTGTTTAACTTGCAGATTTGTATTTTATTATCCAAAATAAAGGTTTTCATCTCAATGTTAGCTCGTTTAAGAAGAGTCCATAAACATACAGTCTTTGGAATAGACTTTTCAACCGCTATCACTTTGGCAGTCCAATTTCTTTGGCCAGGAACAATCTCTAATATTAGTTTATATTTTTCATCCACGGTTTTATCTCTGCGGGGAAAAGACAACATTAATTAGAAGAAAGATATCATAAAATCTTACTTCAAAAGTTCTTTTTTAATAAGAAACTTGTATGATTGATTAAAAGTTCTGTACGAAGAAAAAAGGAAGTATTATTCTTTGAGTTACAACATAGAAACAAAGCTGAAATTTTATTTTAAATAAAGAATACAGATGATCATGAGCAACATCATTAGCGGGGGGAAAAAAAAAACAAGTTCAGGTAATTCCTTAGAAAGAAGCTCTGAGCTGGAGAAAGAAACCAAGCTGCAACGTTTGAGAAATAGAGGAAAGAATGAAACAAGCTGAAAAGAAAAGGCTCACTGAAGCATACAGTATTTTTAACCTAAAGATCTGATAGTAGTTAAAATGAGTATGGTATTTAAATTGTTTGTTGGGGAAAAACGTGGGTATTTTAGGAATTACGTCCTTCTCGTACCCTAAACTTAACAAGTAAATTTAAAGGTGGGAAACTTTCTTTCTGCTGAAAGAACAAAAATAATAATATGTTAGGAATAAGAAAATGTAAGATAAAAATTATTAGAAATAATTTAGGACTTACAAGATCAAGTAGGAAGTAAGAAGTTATCTTATGCTCAAGTCTTATTGGGACTTATTTTCAGCTTTTCTAGAACCATAGGATAATCAGCTTTTGGCCAGCATTCACTCCAGTTGGTACTCCTTTTTTCCCCCTTAAGATTACTTATGTAAATTTTTAGGTTGTTCATGTGATGAAATAGTGTTTTGTGTTCTTTTTTTTCCCCCCCCACTTTTAGCTGGGTATTTAGGACTTCAATTAATTCTTAGCTATGAAATCCATATTGTCTAGTTGTTGATGGGTTAAAAGAAATGTAAACTAAATAAAAAAACAAAAAAAAATTCAAAGTTGAAGTTAACTACTTTTGGAAAAAAAAAAAAAAAAAAAGTTGAAGCTGAACTAATCTTGTAAGATGAAAGGATGCATGCTAAAGAATTAGTGCTATAAATAATACTTAGTAGTAATAGGATATTGACAATCTTAAAATGTAATGATGGTAATAAGGGCTAACTACCCTGTTGAATTGGGAAATGGACTGACGCAACTTGCAAGCTATGAATAATATTAATAATCTACAAGAATATCAAAAGAACCAAAAAAAAAAAAAAAAAAAAAAAAAAAAACCACAATTGTAAAGATATACCTCATGCTTATTATATTTTCTTATTCAACAAGGGTGCCCCGGCGGTCCCCCAGGATTACCCCGGGGTTGCCCCAGGGGTGCCCCGGGGTTTCTCCGGGGGTTTCCCGGGGTTCTCGGGGATGCCCCAGGGGTGCCTTGAGGGTGCCCTGGGGGTGGCCCGGGGGTGTCCCGGGGTTGTCCCAGGGGTGCCCCGGGGGTGCCGCGGTGGTGCCCCAGGGGTGCCCCGGCGGTCCCCCAGGGGTGCCCCGGGGTTGCCCCTACAAAACCTTAATAAAAATATAATTTTTTTACGCATCCCGGCCCTTGAGTGCCTCACTACGCGGGACAGGGGCTTTTTGACAGCGTTTTACCTTTTTTTGTCATGTTTTTAGGCCATTTTTATAGGCATGTCCAGAAAAATGTAAGGATCGTGTCTGTAAAATTTCATCATTTTTTGAGGTCGTTTTGATTTTATTTTATTTTTCAAGTACGAAAAATAAAGAAAATCAGAAAAAATAGAATATTCAACAGAAAATGGTACCGCTTATTACATTAATTCCTAAAAAAATCGTATATTAATTTTAGAATGGAAAACATAAATAAAAATGTAAACTTTTTACCCATCCCGGCCCCTGGGCGCCCCACTACGCAGGGAGGGGGCTTTTACACAGCATTTTACTTTTTTTTTTATAATTTTTTGAGGCCATTTTTTGTAGACACACCCAGAAAAATGTAAGGCTCGTGTCTTCAAGATTTCATAATTTTTTGACTTCGGTCTTATTTTATTTTATATTTTAAAAATGAAAAATAAAGAAAATCATAAAAAATAGAATAATCGTCAAAAAATGGTGCCGCTTGTTCCATTAATTCCTAAAAATTGTATATTAATTTTAGAATGCAATACATAAATAAAGATATAAATTTCTGACCTATCCCGGCCCCTGGGCGCCCTAGTACGTGGGCTGGGGGCTTTTTTTTTTTACAGCGTTTCACTTTTTTTTGTCATTTCTTATGGCCATTTTTTGCAGGCATGCCCAGAAAAATGTAGGTGTCTGCAAAATTTCATAAATTTTTGACATCGTTTTTATTTTATTTCATTTTTTAAAGATGAAAAATAAAGAAAAGCATAAAAAATAGAATATTCATCAAAAACATTATCTACTTGTTGGATTAATTCCTAAAAATTGTATATTAATTTTAGAATGCAAAAGATAAATAAAAATGTAAATATTTGACGCATCCCGGAACCTGGGCGACCCACTACGTGGGCTGGGAGCATTTTGACAGCGTTTTTCTCTATTTTTTTTTTCATTTTTTAAGGCCATTTTTTGCAGTCACACCCAAAAAAATGTAAGGATTGTGTCGGCAAAATTTCATAATTTTTTAACGTCGTTTTTATTTTATTTTATTTTTTAAGTATGAAAAATATAAAAAATCATAAAAAAATAGAATATTCTTCAAAAAATGGTGCTGCTTGTTGCATTAATTTCTAAAAATCGTATGTTAATTTTAAAATGCAAAACATAAATAAAAATGTAAATTTTTAACCCATCCCGGCCCCTGGGTGCCCAGAGGGCTTTTTGACCGCTTTTCTCTTTTTTGTCATTTTTACGCCTTTTTTGCAGGCATGCCTAGAAAAATGTAAGGATCGTGTCTGCAAAATTCCATAATTTTTTGAAGTCGTTTTGATTTTATTTTATTTTTTGAGTACAAAAAATAAAGAAAATGATAAAAAATAGAATATTCATCAAAAAATTGTGCCACTTGTTGCATTAATTCTTAAAAATCGTATATTAATTTTAAACTACAAAACATAAATAAAAATCTAAATTTTTTACCCATCCCGGCCGCAGGGCACACCACTACACGAGTCGGGGGCTTTTTTAGCACATTTTACTTTTTTGACCTTTTTTGAGGCCATTTTTTGCAGGCATGCCCAGAAAAATATAAGGAGCGTGTCTGCAAAATTTCATAATTGTTTGAAGTCATTTTTATTTTATTTTATTTTTTAAAGACTAAAAATAATGAAAATCATAAAATTAGAATATTCATCAAAAAATGGTGCCGCTTCTTGCATTAATTCCTAAAAATCGTATACTAATTTTAGAATGAAAAACACAAATAGAAATATAAATTTTTGACCCATCCCGGCCCAAGGGCGCCCCACTACGCGGGCTGGGGGCTTTTTGATATCGTTTTACTATTTTTTGTCATTTTTAGGCTATTTTTTGCAAGCACGCCAGAAAATATAAGGATCGTGTCTATAAAATTTATAATTTTTTAACGTCGTTT